GGCCGCCCGGCCTCGGGGGCCCTGGGGCGCCGGCCTTCCGGACAGGGACCAGCTGATGGCCACGGAGCCGGCGTAGAAGCCTGCTGGAGGGACACAGGTCCTCAGTGGAGCCTTCCTGCCACCAGCTCCACGACCGGCCGGCCCCACCCTGTGCTCCAGAGCGAGCCCACGTGCACTGGCTCAGCTGCGGGAGCCGCCCGGGCCTGGAATGAGGCATCTACACTCCTGTCCTGCTCCGCCAGGGTTCCTGCAAGGGCACTGCCCCCACACGAGCCCCAGGGCAGGCGGGGCCGCCCCATGGAGGCTCTGACTCCCCGACACAGACAGCGCCAGGCTCCAGGGGGTGTCCCAGTACAGGAACCCCACGAGGTCGAGGAGACCCTGCTGAGGTGAGGCCTCCCAGCTCTGAGAAGCCCTAGGACCCACGTGCGGAGGGGCGGCTCTCCTGCAGGCCTCCCTGAGGGCGCAGGGCCACAGGTGCCCATGATGCAGGCCGGCAGGGGTCGCGGCCTGAGGACCCACCAGGCCGTCCCCGCTCCGTTCTGTCCCCGCCTCCCTCCCGTATGAGAAGTGGAGGTGAGCGTAAATGCACAGGAAGGCCGGGGCCAAACAGTCCAGCGGTCGGAGGGGCCAGCTGCCAAGCCCATGCCCAGCTGTCTGAGCCGCCTGGGGCCGCCCGCTGTCCCTGCGGGGCAGCAGGGAAAGGCTGCCCCACCCCCAGGCTCCCAACGACCACGGTTCGGGGCCCCTAGTCCGGCCACATCAGAAGTGAGCAGTGTCCTGGGCCTCGCCCTGAGCAGCCCGTTCCACCCCACATCGGAGCGCCGGGTGCCGGGCCAGGCCGGGGAGGCTCACCTGCGGGGGCCGCGGCCAAGCTCTTGCTCCCGGCCCCATGGGCATTAGCGCCGCCCGGTTTCTCGAGCGCAGATGAGTCTCGGGGCTGCGGCACGGGGCTGGGCGTGCTCCTCTGCAGGCAGAAAGCCAGACGGTCAGCCGGCCAGACACAGGACCACCCAACCAGCTGGACACCAACGAGAGGCGGCGTGGCCACAGATGCTGTGTCCCACATGTCACGGCACTGCCCACGGGTCCTGACAGGCCCCGACTGCTGCGTGCTGGGGGATCCGGTACCAGAGGAAAGCACACACATGCGCACACACTCTGACACACACTGAGCCCCCTGCACACACATGAACACAGAGCCCCGCTGCACACATGTGCACGCACAGAGCCCTCTGTACACACGCACAGAGCCCCACCTGCATACACGTGTGCACACACACTGAGCCCCCTGTACACATACACGAACACTCACCCCCTGCACACACATGCATACACACAGAGCCCCACTGCACACACATGCATACACTGAGCCCCACACATGCACGGACACTGAGCCCCCTGCACATGTGTGCATGTACACTGAGCCCCCTGCACACACATGCATATACACTGAGTCCCCCCACGTGCACAGAGCCCCCTACACACACGTGCATGCACACAGAGCCCCACCTGCACACATGTGCACACACACACAGAGCCCCCCGCACACACATGCACGTACACTGAGCCCCCCCGCACACGTGCATGGACACTGAGTCCCCTGCACACGTACACACAACACAGAGCCTCCCTGCATACATGTGCACACGCACAGAGTTCTGGCAGCACCCTGCAGCAGCACCTCCCCAGCCGACAGGCGGGAACATACCCGGCTGCCTGCACCTGCACGGCCAGTGCTCAGGGAGGGTGGGGTGCCTACGGAGGGGCGGGCTGCCTGTATGAAGATGCCGACGTTCCGGCATCAGGCAGGCCGTGTAGCTCCGGCCCTGAACACCCAAGTCACAGGCTTTGTGGGGGCGAACTGCATCTGGATCTTACAGAGGCAGCCTACGCCAGCCTCCAGGGTGCGGCCATGGTGTCCGCCGCTGCTTTGCCCTCTACGTGCGGGCGGGAGACACACGGGCCACCCAGCAACAGGCACGGGGTGGGGCGGGGGCGCCCAGGGCCGGGCAGCGGCTCCTGCACCTGCCCTCCACCTGCCTCCGCACTTCACTGAGAGCCTGAGAGACGGCAGGGGAGGGGCAGCTCTGGTCAGAGGCCATGTGGCCGAGAGCAGTTCGAGTCCTGGCGGGAGCATCTTGTGCAACACAACAGGTGTGTATGCACACCAGGCTCATGCCCCTAACCCCGCAGACGCAGGGATGGAGAAGGGCATTACAGCCCGACCACACGCCTGGGGGTGAGAGCACGTGCCCTCTGGCAATTGAAGGAGACAAAAGAGCAGGGCCAGTAGACGGTGTAGAGGCTAAGGCCCTGGATCCCGCATGGCCGACCGTGCAGCTCGGGGCCTGGGCCCCGCCGGGGTATACGTGTGTGTCCAACACCCCAAAAGAGGGGTGGGGAAGGAGGAACTGCCACGCGGTCCCCGCAGATGGGGCCGTCACTTCCCCTCTCTGCCTCTACTAGCACGCCAGCCCGACAGCACCGCCTTTGAAGGGCGAGAGGCCGAAGCAGACCTGGGCTTCTGAAGCCCGCTCTCCCGGGGCACCGCGGCGCAGCGCGGCGTACGACTAGCCGAGCGCAGCTCAGGCACGCAGGCCCCTGGCAGCTCCTGGCTGCGCCCCCGACTCACCAGCTTCTCGGCGCGGCTGGGCAGAACCACGCTAGCCAGGGGAATGCTGACCGGGAGCTTGTTGGGCTGCACGGTGCTGAGCGGGATGCTGATGGGCAAGCTGGTGATGGGCGCGC